GGGTTAAATGAATTATTCTTTGGGTCCAAGGAGTTTTCAGCATTTGTCTTGTTTGTGGGAGTTTTATGCATGAGGCTTTGAGTTTTGCTCTCTGCAAGAAATTTTCCCTTTAAAATAAAGTACCAGAGAATTGTGTGGCACTGATTCCTATAATCTTTGGCATGTCACACAATTCTCTCTACTCAGATGTTGAAGAATAAGTACCTAATTCACTCTGATATCATCTTTTCATTTCAATTTGCTATCAAAATTTAACTCAGTGTTTATCCTAGTGAATCAAATAAGAAATAACTTTGCTAATAAATTCTTAAAAAAAAGACTTTACTAAAGATCAAACAATATGCTTAATTGCCAAAGCTAGAGCCAGGTCGTCTTCATCTTTGTAGTCTTAATAAAGCAAGGGAGTCGAGAAGAGGGAAAAACATGAGAAGCTGTAGGTTTTATGCATGATATTGTGGCTTGAAGATGTTTGGGCAAGGATTTTCTTGATTTCTCCAAAGCATAATTTACTTTTGAGAACCAGCTCAAGCCTGAGCCCAACATAACACAAATCATTCTAATTAGAAACTTTTATTATTATAATATAAGTTACGAAACTTTTAGTTTTTAAAGTAAGGTTAGATGCAATTTATTACACCAAAAATTTCATTGTGTTTTAACTTTGATATCATGAAGTTTAAAAGTGCCTAAAAAATACCTTGAAGTTTCACCACTTTTAATTTAACGCCTTTTGTTTATATCACCATTCAGAATTTGTGATAGGTATTGGAAGAGGTATACAGGTCTTTGTGATTATTTACAACGTAAATATCGATTCATGGAAGAATGACTATGCTTAGCAAGGGCTACAATACTAGTATCAAGTATGGATAAATTCTAATTTTTAACTTTAATTAAATTTAATCATATAATTATTAGGAGGTTTTTGTTTAACACGGATTGGTTATTAACCTGTCCCCACCCCCTAATCTGTACCTTTGATAGCACTTACCACCCCTCAACTCTTTTATTTGAGGATATCACCTTAGATCGACAAACCCTCTTCTCCCTCATAGATTGAGGGGTGATCAGTGACATTAAGGTCACTTTCACTGCACCAAAAACTCCACAGAGGTGTTTAAGTTTGAGAGTAATAATTTTATATTCTAATGTGCCTCAGTCGGGCAATCCATGGGCTAAATCCTGGAGTCACACATTAATATTTGTTTCTTTAAATTGCTTTAAATGTATAGTTCGTGTGATTTGAACCTGGCTTGCTCCAATACCATATTAAAAGTCTCTTCTTCTACACAAAAACTTTGACGTAGTGGTGAGGGTTGAGTAGTAATGGTGAGGGTTGAGTATTATTTTTATATTCTAATAAGTGCAAACAACTGAGTAAAGGATGACAAATACTACTAAATGATAGAGTATTAGAATTGACTATAATTTACACTTTCTAAAATCTCACAACTCGCCCGAAATGAAAAATTAGTGAAATTTGTGAGAACACCATTAAAATTTAACCAATTCCGTCAAATATCCAACAATCAAAACCTCAGATAGACCTCCTATGAGAAATTACAATAGAGGAACTAACAAATAGAAATCAAATAGATATAGTTTCATAGATCATAAGAGATATACTAGTTAGACCTCATTCTCAATAATTGCTAATAAATCAACTAAGACATTAGTAATTTCTCAGATCCTGCAATGTGCAAACTAGTATATCTCCTAGATCTATGAAACTATATCTCCTATGATCTATATCTATTGAGAATGAGGTCTAACTAGTATATCTCCTATGATTTATTAGCAATTATTGAGAATGAGGTCTAACTAGTATATCTCCTATGATCTATGAAACTATATCTATTTGATTTCTATTTGTTAGTTCCTCTATTGTAATTTCTCATAGGAGGTATGATCTATGAAACTATATCTATTTGATTTCTATTTGTTAGTTCCTCTATTGTAATTTCTCATAGGAGGTCTATCTGAGGTTTTGATTGTTGTTTGATTTCTATTTGTTAGTTCCTCTATTGTAATTTCTCATAGGAGGTCTATCTGAGGTTTTGATTGTTGTGATGTTGACGGAATTGGTTAAATTTTAATGGTGTTCTCACAAATTTCACTAATTTTCCATTTCGGGCGAGTTGTGAGATTTTAGAAATTGTAAATTGTAGTCAATTCTAATATTCTATCATTTAGTAGTATTTGTCATCCTTTACTCAGTTGTTTGCACTTATTAGAATATAAAAATAATACTCAACCCTCACCATTACTACTCAACCCTCACCACTACGTCAAAGTTTTTGTGTAGAAAAAGAGACTTTTAATATGGTATTGGAGCAAGCCAGGTTCAAATCTCACGAGCTATGCATTTAAAGCAATTTAAAGAAACAAATATTGATGTGCGACTCCAAGATTTGGCCCATGGATTGCCCGACTGAGGCACGTTAGAATATAAAATTATTACTCTCAAACCTAAACACCTCTGTGGAGTTTTTGGTGCAGTGAAAGCGACCTTAATGTCACTGATCACCCCTCAATCCATGAGGGAGAAGAGGGTTTGTCGATCTAAGGTGATATCCTCAAATAAAAGAGTTGAGGGGTGGTAAGTGCTATCAAAGGTACAGATTAGGGGGTGGGGACGGGTTTATTTGCATGTTACCTTTTATAAATTACAAAAACTCATCTCATAGCATGTGTATTTTGTTTTGCTTCAGGTTATATTTAATCAGGTTGTTGCTTTGGTAGAACCTATGGATTTAACAGAGAACAAGTTCTTGAGCATTGGGCTCCTCTTTTTGGGGACTCTCGTGTTCATCAAGTTCGTCTCTGCTATTTTGACCCCTGGTTCGGGTAGGAAACGGTTGCCTCCATTAGTAAAGGCCATTCCGGTGATTGGTGGGTTGATCCGTTTCATGAAAGGACCGATCATAATGATCAGAGAGGAGTACCAGAAGCTTGGTAGTGTTTTCACTGTGAACTTATTGAACCGAAAGATCACTTTCTTTATTGGGCCAGAAGTCTCTTCACATTTCTTTAAGGCTCCAGAGGCCGATCTTAGCCAACAGGAAGTGTATCAGTTCAATGTGCCAACATTTGGGCCTGGGGTCGTTTTTGATGTGGATTACTCTGTGAGGCAGGAGCAATTCCGGTTCTTCACTGAGGCTCTGAGGGTAACAAAGTTGAAGAGTTATGTTGATCAGATGGTTGTTGAGGCTGAGGTATATCTCTGTTCGTTTATTGATCAATATAGGTAGTATTAGTTTAGTCATTTGAGTAAAGTTGACTTCTTTTTGTGCCCTTAGATCTTATTGGTGTTTGCATCCTTCCTCCCTCTTGCCTATTGTAGACCTATGCATTTATATGTACCTTGCTAAATTCTTATAGATTTTTTATTATAAATTTCTTATAAATCTGTTAAGTTAAAATATGCGTGTCTCAGTTGACAAGCTTATGTGGTCTATCACTCTGTTGAAGTTGGTTCTTCTATATGTATCTAGGCCTATAACATATGGCACTCGAAAGCATTTTCTCATACATAACACTTCAATGATAACTTTTGTGTGTGTTGATGTGTATGTCGTTTGAACTAAATTATTAATTGGCTTCTAGGCTACTTATCCACATATGCAAACTTGTATATCTATAGCCGTAGTTATGTCAGTGGTACATTTTGCATTTTTTGTGATAATCTTACTTATTAGGTCCATTATTAAAAGATGAGAAACTTTACAGTGTTTTTCAAGTTGTACTTTTACATGTCTGTTTGACTTAGAGTGTTGGACTATATGTTGCAGTCAAACCTTCTTCTTTCTTATACTTCGCAGCTGCTACTCTAGTGGTTATATGTTGCAGTCAAACCTTCTTCTTTCTTATACTTCGCAGCTGCTACTCTAGTGGTTTTATTTAATTGTTGTTAGAACCTGTTCGAAACCTGTTTGCTTATACTTCGCAGCTGCTACTCTAGTGGTTTTATTTAATTGTTGTTAGAACCTGTTCGAAACCTGTTTGAAATTCCTGCAGAGAAGTCTGGAAGATCGATCAATGGTGAACTGGTGACAACAAAACATAGGTTTTTTTCGCTGGATAACTTGTAATCACTAAGATAAATACCAACTACCTAAACTAGAAGGGCGTGAAGAGAATATGATGGTTTGACAAATGATGTTCTTGTCACAGGAGAGTGTCGTGGTAGTTAATCCCCTTAAAGTTAAAAAGTGGATCATTTGACTCGAAGTATCCTAATACAAGAGCTTGATCTTGATGGTCTTCTTTCCTTGCTCTTTACATCAATTTTTCTTCTGATTTTCCCTGTCACAAACATTTGTTACGATGCCCCTCTAAAGGCTTTTCATAACCTTTATTATTCTAGAAAGTATCCTCCAATTGCGTGCATTTTTGACTTATTGGTTGCTAAAAGCATTTGGCTTCTAGAGATTAGAATTTTGTTTATTAGTTGTACAGGATGTGTAGATGTAGTGATGATGCATGCTAACTTGCTAAAATGGAAGGCTTAGAGTAGGTAAAGGTCCTTTGTCTTGCAGAAAACTCATTGATATTCATAAAGAGCGCTTCTTACAGTGAAAACAATATGAAGTTCATGAAATTTAGTTTGGTAAGGTGGTTGAAGATGAAGTTGTTGACACTAGTACATGTCGAAGTTGGACGGAGTATCTGTTGCTTTTCACACAATTTAAACCTTATTCCTTGATACAAGTCTTCTGTGATTGCACATGCCATTTGCATGACTACAAGCAGCACACTGGGGGGTGGGGGGTCTCTAATATCAGTATGAAATAGATACTTTGACTTCCTAATCAACCATCACATTGTTTGTGCCTGACGGTTCATAAGATCGTCCTAGAGATTCCTTGAAAATGAAAGATCTACTTTGTCAACTTTTCTGGATTATGTTACTTAGGGTTTGAATTTATACTTTTGCACATACTTCCAATGTCTCACAGGAGAAGAATATATATCTGATTTAGTATTCTTTTTCTGAGGTACCCATATTTCCATTACATGTTTACCTACTTGCTTTGAATGAATTGTCAACTTACATTTTCTTATGGTTCTCCTTAATATTTGAATGTGACTCCAGTCATAAGTTAGTCTAATTGCAGAAGAATGTGAACAGCCATTTGTTCGGATTGATATGACACATGAGCTAGATGCCATCATTACAGACAATCAACAAATTCATATGATTTGAGAATATAAAATGAATCCTCCTACTTTATATTTCAATTGTGAATACTTCTTAAGAAGTAATTTCACTATGTACTACCATTAATTGTTTGTTTAATTCTTACATTTTCTTTTCATCCACTTCCAAATCATCAGTTCAATTGATGTGAATGGTCAATTTGAGAACACAAGTAAGATAGAATGTTTGAAAGATATTACCTTGGTTTCTAAACTTTTTCTTCTATTTCTTTTGTCCGCAACTTGTTACGGTGTACCAAATCTAGGTTGCAGTCTAGCTGATCATAATTCTTGGAATCCCTTATCAAACTGTGATTTAGGAACTATTGGATTTAGCACTGCCAAACAAAAAGTTCTGTGCAGTATGTTTGTTCAATTATTTGAAGGACTTGTATGTTTTGCTATTACTTAAGATACGGAGGTGCTAATAAATAAATAATTGATATTTGGATTCAAAGTATGAAAATTTAATGATGTGTGCAGTCTGTTCACTCTTTGTTTTTAGTGAAACAGAATTTTTGGATTGATTGTAATTTGAAGCTCTAGGGAGGTTATGACATATGCCAAATGACTGGGACTAAGTAGAGGGGGAAAAAAGACCTATGGGACTAATAGAGGTGGAAGCATGACTTGTTTTTATATTCAATGTTCTTCCTCTGATAAAAACCAAAGCTGGAGGAGAGGAAGCATGACTTGTTTTTATATTCAATGTTCTTCCTCTGATAAAAACCAAAGCTGGAGGAGAAGCATTTCTTGTTGATGGTTACAAATACACACTACTTTCTTCCTCTGATAAAAACCAAAGCTGGAGGAGAAGCATTTCTTGTTGATGGTTACAAATACACACTACAAAAACCAATTACTTCACTGCCTGAAAAAATAAAAGAAAAATCTTCTCATCCACAGCCAGATATGCCAACCACGACCAAGTGTTTTACATGCACTGATATTTGCAATATTTCGGTTAAAGAAGGTTATTGTATAAATGAGGAAGATGAGGAACATTGATAAATGCTTAATTAACTCTCCTCATGTTCCTGTGTCCCTATTTGTTTTTCTTTAGCGCTATGGTACTACACAAACACAAAAGAGGAACACGAGGAGAGTTAATAAGTGTTTAAAGAGAAGTTCACAAGTTCAAGACATATCACCTTGTATTAGAAGAACTTTCTTCTTGTGTGTGTGGTTGTGGGTTTGGGCACCAATTTAGAAAGCAGAATTTACTGTATGGTCTGATTTCGAGGTGTCACAAATTAAATTAGTTATGCTTTTTTGTAAACATTTATATGGACATCTTTGTAGCACTGATAACCTTTAATGTGACTGCAATCTTAGCCAGGGACTAACTTGACCCTTTTTGACATTGTTGCTCAAGTTTTCTGAAATTCATTATCATGCTCAATCTGTTCTATTACTCTCATTCCAGGATTACTTCTCAAAGTGGGGAGAGAGTGGTACAGTGGACCTAAAATATGAACTTGAGCATCTCATCATCCTAACAGCTAGCAGATGCCTCCTAGGCAGGGAAGTTAGAGACAAACTCTTTGACGATGTCTCCGCCCTCTTCCATGATCTCGACAACGGGATGCGTCCCATCAGTGTCATTTTCCCCTACCTCCCAATTCCTGCTCATCGCCGCCGCGACCGTGCCCGTGCCCGTATTGCAGAGATCTTTGCCACCATTATCAAGTCCCGTAAATGCTCAGGTCGCGCTGAAGATGACATGCTTCAATGCTTCATCGACTCAAAATACAAAGACGGGCGTCCTACTACTGAGGGTGAGATCACTGGTCTTCTCATCGCCGCCCTCTTTGCTGGTCAGCATACCAGCTCGATCACCTCAACGTGGACCGGTGCTTACCTTCTCAAGTACCAGAATTTTCTCTCTGCCGCGGTACAAGAGCAAAAAGACCTTTTGAAGAAGCACGGCGATAAGATTGATCATGATATCTTGGCAGAAATGGATGTTCTCTACCGATGCATTAAGGAAGCCCTAAGGCTCCACCCTCCTCTCATTATGCTTTTAAGGCACTCTCATAGTGGCTTCAGCGTCAAGACAAAAGAGGGCATAGAGTATGACATCCCGAAGGGCCACATTGTCGCAACTTCACCAGCTTTTGCTAACCGGTTGCCTTATATCTACAAGAACCCTGATAGTTATGACCCTGATCGGTTTTCACCGGGAAGAGAGGAGGATAAGGCAGCGGGGGCATTCTCTTATATATCCTTTGGCGGTGGAAGGCACGGGTGCCTCGGAGAGCCTTTTGCTTATTTGCAGATAAAGGCGATATGGAGCCATTTGTTGAGGAACTTCGAGTTTGAACTTGTTTCTCCATTCCCTGAGATTGATTGGAATGCTATGGTGGTTGGTGTGAAGGGAGAAGTTATGGTCAAATACAAGAGGAGGAAGCTTTCGGTTGAATAACTGTGTGTTGCTGGACATGTCGATGTTTAATAACCAGAAAACGGCATGGCTTGATCTTGCTTCTACTGCGAGGACTTTCTTTTATTTTCATGTGATGTTAGTCGTGAGAACCGATCTTGTAATGGTCTTTATGTTATGCTTTTAGCTGCTTGGGATCTGTATCCGTTGAATCAGAACTATGTTAGGCGAAGAAGGTAGTTGCCTATTGCCTTAGCGTATGTTAGGCGATGAAGCTAGTTACCTATTGCCTTAGCATCTTTCTCATTACATAATTTATATTAATGGTTTATTTTAGAGATTGTTGCAGGAGTTTTTGGACAGGGAAAAGCTGTGTTATTGCAAAGTCTGCTTTTGTTGTCTTTTATAGCAATTTTGGAGCCTCCTCTGACTTCTCCAGTTCTGTTGGTGTTATTTGAGTTGTAAAAGATGATGTGATTAATGCATTTGTTTCGTCGCACGGTCAATGTGCGAGGTGGTCCTCTTTGTGACATGCTAGTATCTCAGTGCACGCACGTGCATGCGTGCACGATAGAACTTGGAGGAGTCTCTTTTGTACTAGATTTTTTTAAAAGTGCGAGTATTAATGTTGATTTTTCCGAATGAGAGGACATTACCA